GTTACAGCTCCAAGTTGAGTGATATATGTCCAGGTCTGGCTTTGGTCTTATCTAAACTGGTTTAGACTGGTCAGCCAGAAAGAGGGCCCTACTGGTTGTGGGAGGAGCCACCAGCCCTTTGTTTCAGACCAAGAAGCCAGAAGTGTACCATATTTATTACTTATCAGTGGCCCTGTCTGCTTGTCAGGGAGTTAGTCCCTCACCATGCCAGAGATCAACATATTATGCATTCTTTTGTAAACCCTGCTCAGTCCCTGGCTGGAGAAAGATTCAGCAACTGGAAATTGCAATTCTTGGCTTAATAAATAACCTGAAATGAATACGTAACTTTAACTTTCTTAGTTTTGTGTGCTTGTCTTCCAAATCAGGTGAGAGAATTCTCTAGCTATGAAAAAGTACATGGAGTCTGTCGGGAATTCTACCCATTCTGATAGTTGTGCTTTCCTCCACTAACTCTGCCTGGAAAGACAGCGAAGCGGAAGTGGTGAACTGACAAACTTAAACAGGAAGAGTTTGGGGCCTCACACTTCAAAGTCTTAAGCGATAATGATTATTTCCTAGTTAAAGTTGGTAAAGGGACTAAGACAATTGTTGTCCTGAGGCATCTGAAAGGGCACCTTTGAAAGTGGAGGCAAAGGTGAGTGTTCTGATGGATTCCTGAGCTGCTGACCACACAGCTCACAAAGTGTTGCTTCTTGGGTTAATCCATCTGTTTCCCCACTTAAAAATGCCTTCTTCCTCTTCTCCATCAGTCTAGTTCATTCTAGCTCCTCCAAACCTGGCTCAAGTCTTGTTAACATCAAGAAGTCTTTCTTGACTAGAGGCCCCCAACAATGTAGCCTTGACTGTATTGTTTGACTCACTGTAACTTGCCATTTAAGCACCAGATTAGAGTAAAAGGGCTCCCCTGTGAGAGTTGGGGCACTACCTCTTCACTAGCAGGACTTGACCTCAGGTTCCTCACATCCTAAAATGGGATTAGAACAGAGAATCTTGACCAGATGTGGTAAGATGAGACTGGAAGATGGTGAGTTTTGAGGTCAACCCGGGCTGCCTAGATTTCAAAAAACAAGCAATCAAACAACAACAACAACGAAATAGAAAATTTGGACCAAGGAGATGATAAAGTGCCTTCCTTGCAAACATGAGGACCTGAGTTTAGATCCCAAGCACCTATGCCCAGGGCTGGAGAGATGGTTCGGCAGTTAAGAGTACTGACTGCTCTTGTAGAGGACCTGGGTTTGATTCTCAGCACCCACATGGTGGCTAACAACCATTGGTAACTCTAGTTCCAGGGGAGTTTGACACCCTCTTCTGACATCCACGGCCATTGCATGACACAGGTGCGCTTACATACATGCAGGCAACACACTCACACACATAAAATTAATAAATAAAAATTATTATTCTCCTGGGGAAGGAGCAGGACAGAGACAGGTGGATCCTTAGATTTCATTGATGAGGCATTTTAGCCAATCAGTGAGCTCTGGGTTCACTGAGAGACCCTGTCTCAAAAAATAAGGTCAGGAACAACTGAGGAAAACACCTACGGTGGACCTCGGGCCTCCATAACGATGTACACATACACCAATGTGCACATGTGTTCACCCATGTGAACATGTACATAATAGTATGCATACAGAGAGAGAGAGAGAGAGAGAGAGAGAGAGAGAGAGAGAGAGAGAAATAATAGATTCTCGTGGCTCTGGAGCACTGTATTTCTCTTTTTACTTTTTTTCTTTTCTAGACAGGGTCTCATATAGCTCAAGCTGGCCTGGAATTCACTGTATAGACCTAAAGATGACCTTGAACCTCCAATCTTCCTGCCTCTAGCTCCTGAGTGTGGAATGACAGGCACGTACCGCCATGCCTAGTGTGGTTTTTCTGTTTTCAGTTCTTTCTAAATATATAAGCAAACCTTGGCCTTTGCTGTTTCCCTAGTCCCTTTATCTTTCCAGTTAAATTTACCACAGGTCCTTGAGGACAATTATCATAATTATTCATACATTAGTTTACTTCACCTAATTCTTGTGCTGTGTAATAAATGTTTGCTGAGTAAATGAAATAAGATGATCCCTGTTATCTAGTAATGCATGACTTTTAGCCTCCTAAGGGAGACCTTTCCTTTATTAGTATAATAATAATTCCCTTTCAGACTTGCTCTTTGCCCCCATGAGAACAAGGTATGTAGGAGCGTTTTTGAACAAAGCTATACTCTCAAGGTCTTCTTGTCCTTTCCCTAAAACTCCTCTCTCTCAGCTGAATGTGTCATGGTGCTGTTTAGCATTCCTCCCAGGCACCCTCAGCCCCAGTTTTGCTCATTCTGTGGTGTAGCATCCAACCCACTCCAGTCTTACTGAGAGGTCTAGCACATCCTCTTCACCGTCTTCCAGAGTGGAGTGCCCACAATCTCCGTTATTCGCATCTTTACAGGAGCAGAGTCACATGTTAGTTTCTTCCTCATTAGATTTTCTTACTTCATTATTCACGATTGTGATCTAGAGAGAGAGCCCCTTTAATATGCCAAATGATCTTGCAACCTTGTTGGAAGCCTTGCTTCTCCAGCAGATGCTAGAATTGTGTATCAAGAGATAACAGCTTCTACTGCATTCCATTCCATTAAGGGCATGTTCTCCTAAGGCTACCCAAAAGACTATCTTCAGGCCTCACCTGGATGGCTTCCTCTGGGCACCGCCCATAGGGAGAAAGGTGGAGGCAGCTACTGCTCACCGGCTACATGCTGTGAAACTGTCTATATTGCCAAGTCCCTCCACCTTTAGCTTGGGCCCCTGAGTCTGTTCATTTGAAGCACCAACAATAGGTACCAGGCAGGGAAGCCTGTCCTATCTTCCCTTTTATTTTTCTTAAAAAAGTATTTCTTCCAGGTGTGGTGACACATGCCTTTAAACTCAGCACTTGGGAGGCAGAGGCAGGTGGATCTCTGTGAGTTTGAGGCCAGCCTGGTCTACATAGTGAGTGCCAAGCCAGCTGTCTCAAAAAGACAAAAAAAAAAAAAAAAAAAAAAAAAAAAAAAAAGATTTATATTTTTAAATTACGTGTGCATGTGTATCTGTGTTTGGGTATAGGCACATGAGTTGTAGGTACCCTCAAAGGCCAGAAGAGAGTGTGGGATCCCCTGAAGCTCAACTTATAGTTAGTTGTGAGCTGCCTTGTGTGGGTGCTGGGAACTGAATTTAGAACCTCTGTAAGAGCAGTAACTGTTGAGCTACCTCCCCTTCCCACCTCCCCTTCTTTCTTGTGAAGCCAGGTGAAGTTTTACAAGTAACACAGGGAAAAGCTCAAACTGAAAGACTGAGTAGGGGCTGTTACATGAAGAAATAAATCTGACCTCATGTTTGGGAAAACTCTTTGGTCCAGGAATCTGTTTGGTGATGAGACAGACCCAGTATGGCCTGTTCATTGACATCGGATAGTCTTAGCTGTGGTTTGACCAATCCTGAACTCCTTCCCACCCTATTCTCTCTGAGGCTCCAGGTCTGTCTTCATTAGAAACCCTCGGGGACGTGTGGTTATTTTATTTTTAGGAATTTTCATACAGCATCCCTCGGGCCAAGAGGATTGGAACGTCACCTGGATCACTGACCAGATAGCTACCTCTTAGTTTCCTTCTTTTCTTTAGGAAATACGGTGATTCAACTGTGTTTTCCTTTGACACTCACAGAGACAGATAATATACGTGTATTGCTCATGAGAGGACAGGAAAGGTCTTTTGTGATTTTGTATTGTTTCTAGAAAAAATAATAGGTTATATAAAAGGCCCTGAACTTATAAAAGTCAAATGATTGATTTCTGCCCATGGCAAGGTAGAGGTGGTATTTATAGTACTGCAGGCAGCAGTCTGGGGATAGTTTGGATGCTGTTGGCTTTTCTAGCTGCAAGCTTCAGCTCCAGGAGCCCCTGAATGAATCCTCAAATGGACTGACCCAAGAAAGTTTTCGAATATCTTTCAGGACTAGAAGGTGAGGGATGGGAAAATGTTTTGAAGTGAAAACTGTGGAGATTAAAGCTCTATGTAAATCTGACAGTTGAGGATTGCTGTAAAGAATTCTGCTCAAATGTTCTGAAAAGATGCTCAAAGGGATGCTGAACTTCTGATGGTGTGTCAGGGCATTTTATTATTGAAAATAATATGTGGTGAAATTTCCTCCTCTCGCTCGGGGCAGCTACTCAGAACAGAAATGTGATAGTGATAGGAAGGTATGCATCAGATTCCATTTCACTAAAAATTTCTGTGTGTCAAAATCATTTTAGCACAGAGCATACAGCAAAATATACCAAATCATTGTTTTCTTTGAAAAGGACATTGAATTGGAAACAGAAAGTGGTTATATAGGTGTGGCTCTAACCGATTAACAGCAGAGCTCTTTAAATGGAACCTGATTTTTACCATTTTGAAAACATTTTTTTTGTTCCCAGTTTGTATAATTCCATCCCAATTCATCTGGATTTTATGGTAGTCACTTCCTGTGCTGAGGTTTTCTGTTTTCTCAGAAAACACAAGAAGTCAACTGCTGGGCTTTGTGTTTCTTAAGATTGTTGCTTTCCTTTCAAGCTCCCAGTATAGTCCCCACCACCAGATAATAGATGTTTTATGTACTCAGATTTAACTGAGGTAATAATACTTAATTCTGTATGCTTCTAAGATAAGCCTGCTTCCATTGAAAATACTTTTCTGTAAAGAAAAAGAAGACAAATTTTAACCAGTTTATTTTTTTCAATGTTTTGAGTATTTCAGAGTAAATTGATGGTAAAAATTGATTGCACTTTTAATATTTACTTAAAACAATCTAGAGTAGATTTCTGATGTTTGAATTAATTCAACTAATGGAAACTTTTTTCTTCTGGTATAAAGAAGAAAAGAGCTGTATAAACTTAATGATAAAGTTTCTTAAAATGTTTCTTGCCTCTGCTCTCTGACACAGGGGGAAAAAGGATGTCTAAGATTATACTTTAGATGATTTGTTGATTTCTGCAAACAGGTGTCTTATTAAGGATTTTGAAAAGCGGCCTTCTGTCACACATCTCCTCGAACACCCGTTTATTAAAGGAGCCCAAGGAAAGGCTTTGTTTCTGCAAAAACAGCTGGCCAAGGTGCTTCGTGAACAGAAACATCTGAACCCTGTTGCTAAAACCAGGTACGGTTTTCCATGTGGCTCTGCATCCTCCCTCTGGTCATTTATTAGAAGGGCACAGCATGATCTGTGTTTTGATCTGCTCTGCATTTTAACTGGTAATAATCGCATCCCTGAGTTTTCAATTTCATTTATGTGGCTTTAAGCACATCATGTCCTATGGACACACAGGCAGGCTTCAGAAACAAGCTGCCCATTCAGACTCTTGTGGCTAATTTCCTTCAAATGTCTGAAATCTTACTACCCTGTTCAGTTAGCTTTCATTAAGACACATTTACATTTAATATAAATGTAATTTTAAAAAAATCAGGCAAGATAACTGCGAAACAACCAGGGGTAAGATTGTGAAAAGTCTTAACTTGGCTGTTGCAGACTGAGGAGCAGACATGGAACCTGCGAAATGATCCTGGAAGGACTGTGTTAAATGCTAGGGGTTTTCTCTTCAATTACACTGAGCTTCCCTCTTTACTTAAAAATTCCTTAGGGTCCTTTTACTATTTTTTTCAGATAGTTTGTCTGTGCCACTTACTCCTTCCATCCTACTCTCCTTACCCTCTCCCCCTCCCCCCTTTAAAAAGGGTAGGTTTTAAAAAATGTTATTTTGAGGGTCGAGTGTTTAAAGCTCCATTCTGTATGCATCTCTAAGAAAGAGGTCTTTGACTTCTGTCCAGAGGGTGGCAGAATTTCTCTTAAAGAAAAATAAATACTAAATACAAAATAAGCAATGATTTGATTTTATAAATCCGGCCAGGATGCAGATAAGCTCCAGCCCATTATTATTAAAAAGGCGTTCACTGTACCGGAGCTGAAGAAAACAGGGTAAGTCACAAGTTCTGGAAATATTCTTGAATTCTGTAGAAAACTGTTTACAAATCAGAAAGCCAAACCCTGACATCAGAACCCAGGCTCTCTGGAGACGTGGTTTCAAGGTGACTGACTGTCTTCTGAGTTTCTCTGTTGTCACAGGTTTCCAGTTAGGATAACACAAAGCTAAGATTCCCCTTCTCTTCCCCCTTTGCCACAGCTGTTTCTGTTTCTATGGCTAGCCTGCAGGTCAGAGAAACACAAAGATGGCCTTGTGACTTGGTGCCTTTTGGCAGCAGGAGGAACTTGTGCTCAGGCCTTGGGGAGCTGAAATCCTTTTTCCTTTTGCTTTTGTTTCTGTATGCCAGCCACCTTCACACACACACACACACCACCAAAATGAAGATGAAATACAACAAAACATAAACCAAACCTAGGAAACCCAGCAAAATCAGATCCAGTTTCCCCTATCCCTGTTCCTTCAGTCTGGCACTTCTGCCTGATTTTGCCCATCCAGGTAGTATTTTTAAAACTTTTATCTTTTCACCATAGAAAATCATGGCTCCATACTCTCTCCACCCCTTGCTCTAATTTCTTTCTTTTTGTCAACTCTTTTGATGTCAAAAGCCTGGTAGGTGGCAAAGGCCGCTCACAGGGCTTTTGTAATCTCTAGCTTCCCTCAGTAGTTCGTGTTTCTTAGAACAGTCATTAAAAAAAACATACAACCTCACAAATAGGTATCAAAAATTTAAAGGGCCCCTTCCTTAAGGGGTAGGAAAATTAATTCCAAAGGGGGATACAATGCATGGAACTGATAACTCTGGCACCTGTCCCATGGTACTTCCTCTCAGCAACTGGCAAGGCATTGACTATGTAGATGTTTTTGAGCCCACCAGGAAAAACTCTCAGCCACTGTTTGCTGCTGGTAAGCCGATATAGTAAAGCTGCGCGTTTCCATTCGAATGAGGTGGGAGTACAGGCTGAGGAGGAACACCCTCCTTCTCAGCGATGGCCCCATGCAGCAGGCAGGAGAATGCAGTGATCAAAATCACCAGCTCAGCTTAGCCAGATTTGGGCTGGCGCTCAACCACCTCCTGGAGAAGTTATTTAATATTTCTCTTCTGAAGTTTCTTCTATAAAATGGGGATTATTTTGAGGGTGAGATGAGCCTACACATAAAATGCTTAGAATGGTTCTTCATCAGTGGATGTTAATAGCAGAAGCAGTATGCACGGTCTCTTTAGAGCCTTTTGTTCCTTTTAACACCACCTTTTTCTTGCCCTTAACCTGTGAAAATCCATCTTTTTAATTTACTAGAGAAGATCATGAAGGTAAACAGTACTGAAAACTAAAGGTTAAAACTACCAATTTCTATCTCTTATTCAAAATCAAATTTATTCATTTATTCTTTGTAGAGACATTTATATGTGTCTGTGTCGTGTCAGGCCCTATGCTGAACAGAGGAACTACAAAAGCAAACTAGATGTAGCTCCTGATAAAGTGCTAATAGTCTTGTGCTATACAGATAAAGGTCAGATAAGAGCAGCTCACATGAAAAGTACCTGGATAAAGAAAGCTTGAGATGCCCCTTCCCAGCACCTGGGAAAGGGCACCTAGGCCAGCACGGGGTTGGGATGCCTGGGGAAGACACTAAACAGAAAAACAGAAGAACTCCGGTAAGTGGCTGAGCTAGACTCTAAACCCAGAACCAGTGGTTCATGTTGTTCTGCCTGCCATGTGCCCACCACTGAACAGTAAGTAGGTGTTTGCCTCATTCGTACATGCTCTTGCCTCATTCTTGTATCGTAATTAAAAATTCATAACTGGTAAGATGATGGTCCCGAGGAACAAACAACAGATAGTTAGGAAGGCGATTATCTACGTAGAATGAGTGATGGCAAGGAGCAAAGGTCCCTGGGCTGGAGAGAGCTTGGGAATCCTGTGAATTGCAGCCTTGGAGCTTAGCACAGGATAGGTGGGAGGGAGAGACAAAGTAGCAGGAGGCCAGGTCACGATGGGCCAAGGTCCTTGGACTCGTACCCTAGGCAGAGAGAACCACTGATGAGCTCCAGGCAGGGATGTGCAGAAGGGCGTTCTGATGGTAGTATAGAGAATAGAAATGAGCAGGGCAAGACAGGAGCCAGGTATAAATCAGTCTCAGTAGTGCAATGTTGTTTCTCTATAGGTGTCTCTATAGGACTACATAGAGTCCTAAAGCTAGACCTAGATCTCGGTCTGAGTATACATTAGTAAAACAGGATTGCATCACACTTGGCTTTCCAGAAAACTACTGCACTCAGAAGACCCACTGTTCAGACCCAGGAGAGGTAAGATGCACCTCCATGCAGGGTACAACTTGTGCTGCAATGTGATCAAGTCCCCATGATGCCTAGCCTTGCTCCTGGACTCTTGAACAGCCATCCTATCCTTCACCATAGCTGAGATGACCTCTTCCCTACAGTACTCTGGCCCCCGCACCACTTTCTGCCTGCTCACTGCAAGGAGAAGGCACTGGGGCTCCTCCTGCTCCCCCTGCCTTCCCAACCTTTGTTTTTCCTAACTAATCTCCCTGCTATGACATTCACACCCTCCTCCTCAGTACCTGACTTCTCCTTTTGCTTTCTACTCCTTCCTCTGATATCGGTCTTTGATTTTCCCATCTCCTATCTACCACTCTGTTAATTCTTTGTCTATTCTTACCTCAGGGTTTCTCGACTTGTAAGCACTTTAAAAACTTTTTCTTTTTCTCTTAGATTTTATTTATTTTTATTATTTTCTGTGTTTAAGTGTTTGCCTATATGTATGTATGTGCATTAGTCAAGATTCTCTAAAGAAACAGAACTGGTAAAATGAATATATATAGGGATTTATCAGATTAGCTTAAGGATATAGTCCGAATAGTTCAAAAATGGCTGCACCACGCTGGAGAAGCTGAGAATCCAATAGTTGCTCAGTCCACGAGGTTGGATGTCTCAGTAGTCCCAATATGGCACTGAAGGCCTGATGAATTCCAAGAAATCTGCTAGTCTTCAATCTACAGCAGCAAGACGAACTCACCAGTGAGAGAGAAGGCAAGCGGCAAAAAGCAAGAGCTCCCGTCTTCCATGGCCTTTAATACAGCAGTCATCAGAAGGTAACGCCCACATTTAGGGTGGGACTTCCAGCTTCAGATGATCCAGTCAAGAAGGTCTCTCTCATTTCAGTTAATCCCAGATCCAGTCAAATTGACACCCAGGATTAGCCATCACAGTATATATGTGCACCACATGATTGCCTAGTGCCTGTGGAGGCCAAAAGAGGGCATCACATCCTCTGGAATTGGAGTTCCTAGGGGCCTAGAACTCCAAAGAATACTGCTCATTACTTGCAGAGGCAGGAAAGTTCTTTCTTTCAGTGCTTTCCCCAGGGAAGAAGGAAGCTGGTAGATGAAGAGGACTCAAGGAGGAGGACAGGTTCTTAAAAAATGAGAAAAGTTGAACAGGTAAGAGAAGGATCACATGTAGAGGGAGACATTGAAGACGGAAGACTAGAGAGATGGTTATAGAGGAAGCAAAGGAAAGTGGATCAAGCATCTAAGAGAAGGTTAGATGGCCTTAGAGAGAAAGAACCTCTAAGTTAGAAAGGCATATAGAAGCTAGTTAAAAATACTCAGAAAATTTGACGGAGTAAAGGAGATGCTATGAGGAGCCTCATACTGAAAGGCATTTAGCTTTCCTTAAACTAATAATTGTGGGATCAGGGTTGGCAATGGGATTGGACTCTAGGGAGACTGTAAACCTTTGAAAGAGTCACTATGAGAAATGCGATAGAGTTATTTAAATATAAACATAATGATTATTTAGAAGCACAGAAAACTCAGGTGGAGGATATTTGATTGGTACTCCAGTGTAGTGAAGTTCATCAGCGATTAAGATATTCATGTAGAGCCTTCAGGACAGTGTGGCACTATAAACTCAGAAAATGGGCTGTCTTCACCATCACCTTCCACACCTGGAGTCTTAAGTTATTCTTAGGCACAATGCATAGGATACAGAAAGCAGCTTTGGTGGTCTTCTCTAGGCTGGAGCCAGGCTTTAGACATGGTCAAGAGGAGGATCCTTCAGGAGGGTGAAGACAGTGGTTTAGTGACTTTGATACTGAGTCTAGTCAGGGACTGGCAGTTGCCATAAAGATGAAGGGCAGGTCCAGTAGAGGATGGT